TACTTTGGTATAAACTGTTCTAACAGCTTAGTAAAACAGTGATAGTAAACTTATTCCTAGTGCTATTGCATCTCATGATTTTCATAGTCACAGAATTTGTTCTGGAGACCATCTCTCAGTGCAGTGCTACCGTTACCTCCTGCAAAGTTAGATGCAACATGTTTACGGAGCTTAAGGATAAAAGTTTTGATATCCAGCCTGTTGCCAAGAATGACAAACTCTGAGGCATCCATTTGAAATTTAAAACCTTCGATTACATTCTTCTGTCTCATTCTTTTTCATCTTGACTGAAAGGAAGAACAAAAATAAGTCATACAGTAGCATGAGATTATGAAGCAAAGTATTATGAATCATTCCCATGTCTCTGATTTGAGGCAGTTTCAGCTTCTTTATCCAGTTGTTGCTTTTGGAATGATGACATCAGTAACAATAATTTTTTTTTTTTCCAGCTTCTTCACTTTTTTCTTTGTCAGTTTTAGTTTTGATCTTTGTGCTCTGTGAAGTTCTGATAATTTCTGACCTGCCCTTCTGTTTTGTTTTGGGTTGTAGGTTTTTTTTTTCCCTTTCTTAGGTGCTTGATTCTCAAAATACACTTTAAATGAATGCTACTTTCTAGTAGGCAACTTTAAGTTTCCTCATTTCTGTTTTTGTTAGTTTATAATATCATAGAATTGTTATGGTTGGAAGAGACCTCAAAGATCATCAAGTCCAACCGTCTACCCAACACCACAATGCCCGCTAAACCCACTAAACCATGTCTTGAAGCACCACATCTAAATGTTTTTTGAACACCTCCAGGGATGGTGACTCCACCACCTCCCTGGGGAGCCCGTTCCAATGCCTAACGACTCTTACAGTGAAGAAGTTCTTCCTAATATCCAACCTGAACCTCCCCTGACGCAACTTGAGACCATTTCCTCTTGTCCTGTCGCTAGTTACCGGGGAGAAGAGACCAACCCCCACCTCACTACAACCTCCTTTCAGGTCGTTGTAGAGGGCAATCAGGCTGAGGGGATACCTCCTTTTTCGCCAGGCGGAACAACCCCATCTCCCTCAGCCGCTCCTCGTAAGGCTTGTGCTCCAGACCTTTTACCAGCTTATGTCCAAATGCCTTTAATCATCCCGCTTTCTTCTCTTTTTTCCTTTTTTTTTCCCCTTCTTTCCATTCATACTTCTTTGTGCACTCCCTGCCTCCCTCCATGCATCTGTCTTGTTTCCTGTGACAACATCTTTCTAAGCTATTGCCTTTTGTTTTCAAGTGCTGTATTGTGTACTGGAGTTACTTTAACTAAGTTTCATATGTAATACTCTTCCATCTTCTTTTGATAGCATGGATTTTGCTGTTGTATGAATCCCATTAGGTATGTTTTTCCTCGAGATGTTGGTCAGACATGTCTCTTAATATTACTAACAGGTAATTAATATACAAATGTTTCAATTTTGTGTTTTGTGTCTATGTGCATGAGCCTCAGAAGTGAGTAGGCATGAGCCGTAAGTCTGTACTGTTATGAATACAGAATGACAGTAACTGTGCAGAAAGAAATACATAATCTTTTATAGAGTAATTGCTGAGCTATGGTAGGATATCTAGTCGTATCTGGAGCTAGGTGTGTCAGGTTTTCTTGCTGTCCTTCCTTGCTCCTTTATCCTCATAACTAACATGCAAAGTAAGGACATGGGGAATATAAAGCAGTGTCCTGAACACAGTTCTCTAGATGCACATAGTTACATTTAAAGTGAGTGCAAACAGCCAGTACTGAAATCTTTGTGTATAAATCAAGGCCAGAAAGCAGTTTACAGTTCACAGTCTGATCACAAAGTTGGAGGCATTCTAGTAACTTAGGGAATGTAGTAAGCTCCAGCTTGTCTCCCCTAAGCTTATGCATCTCCAACCCAAATGCACTGGGCAATTGACAGAAATAGTGAGACACTGTGAATTTATTATTCACTGTTTCATAGCACCTCTGAAGATGCCTTTTGAGCAATAACCCAAAACCTGTATTTCTACCCTTACTCCCTGTTTCTTGCAAGTAAACTCTAAATTCACATGTACACAAGTAGCGACACCCTAAATTCTGGGTTTAGACTCTGACTTGAATAGAGTACACACCTGTGTCCTGGTTTCTCCCTTCTCCAGACAAGAATTTGTTATGAGTCTGTCAGTAAAAACTTGAGTACTTATTAAGATTCCAAACATAATTGCATGTATCTTTGCTCCATCAGAAGGCTCTGAAATAAAAGCCCAAATTGTTATGTAAGCAGTGGAAAATACATTCAGCACTTGTTTTGGGAACTCATGCAAGTGTGTAGTATATCTAGGGAAAAAACCCAGAAGGAAACAAAACCCCTGAACCTAACTCTGCTTCGTTCCAGTTATGCATTACTGAACTACTCTGAATCATAATTTACTGTGTTCATGTGTGTGTAATTTTTAAAATGAATAACTACTTCTGCAAAGCATTTTCCTTGAAAAACCTGATGTTTGAGACAGAAAACTAATAACCTAAGTCATTAGCTCTATCAGGAACAATACAAGCTCTTTTTCCTCCATTTGAAATAAAACCTCTCATATGAGAACTTGTGAGAGTAGTGCCAAGTTGCCTGTGCAAACTCTGAACCATTTCTAACTAGTGATCAACCAGGTTAAGGTGCTGGTTTGCAGCTTTGCTTTGCAAGTTGCATTTACTGGCAATTCAGGTAAGTGCCAGATAACATTCTGGCCAGCTCCTAAGAAATGTTGGCTCAGCATAATGGGCTTCTCCCAGCTAATCTTCCATACCTGAATTACTTGTCAGATTGATTATGGGCTGCTAATGTCTTGAATTTTCTAGGTCTGGTTTGGGATAAGGTCAAGAAGGTAATGGCAGCAGTATAACATTATTCACAGTACAGGAACAGAGGCTACTCAGCATTATTGCTATTCAAGTCATGAGAATATGCTAAGAATGGATATAGAATAATGTTGTTCAGAATAAAGTTAACGGAGGAGAATAATATGAACTCATGTAAGTAAGATATATCCAGTCTGCACTTATTCTGAAATATTTAGCTTGTCAATCTGCTCAGGATGGCAAATTATGCAGAACACATAGTATCAGTGTTGCAATTGTCTGATTTCTAGCTAAAAATATTTAATCATTTTCACCATTTTATTTCTAGGCCTTCATTGGGGACTGACTGGTTTCTGTACTTGACATATGATCTCCCATATCACCTGCAATTTACTGGAACAGAGCAGTAGAATAATTTGGAAGGGACCAAATAGTGGAATAGTAGATGTGGAATAGTAGAATAGTTGGAAGGGTCCTCTGGAGATCCTCTTATCTAACCTCCTTGGCTGTCAGTCTCAAGAGTGAAATTTGTTGTGACCAGAGGCAGCCATCTTCATAATCTACCTATGAATTCAGGGCTCATCTTAAAAAGAAAAGGAAAAATGGTTAGCTTCAGCTTCTCCTTTTTGACTTGAGCTGTTGAAAGCATTTCTGCATGTAGATATGTGCAACTATAAACTAAATCAGAATTTCTGATAGTTGGTCAGAGAGAGAGAGACTTATCTGTTACACTAATGCTTTAACTTCAAGAAGCAGCTTGATACTGGAATTACAGGCATAGTGTGAAACTGTTGTCAAGCACCAAGTGACTGTTCTTCGTATGTTCAGGGAAACAGTTTTTTACACATTCAGTCTTGAGAATTTTAATTCCTTGTCTAACCTTTCTTTAAAAGAGATAAAGGTGTTCTGTGGAGAATTGTGTAAAAGAGGAGATCTTTAACCCTGGAAATCCGTTTGATTTCATCTGAGGGCTATGTCTAGGTAATACACGCAAGATGTGCTAATTTCAGTTATTCACTATATCCTTTTAGAGATTCTCTTTTTTCACATACTATGTTTTTACGTTGTAGCATGCAGTAGTGGGCATGTTGTTTTAGTATTTGGATAGGATAAACGGAAACTGACTGTTCAAGGCTTGCGTGTTGCTTAGATAGCTTTTGCTTGTGCTCATGAAGGCAGATACCCTTATATGTTTAAAAAAAAGAAGGAAAAAACAAAAAAGGTTGAGTACCCAGAAGACAAAATCCATTATGGTATAGTGTAAGATATGTGGGTTTGGTCAAAGGCACCTTGCTAAGAAATCATGTATCAATGCAATTATTTTTCCCTTTTCTCTGAAAAGGGAAATGTTATCTTTACTGATGAAATGAGAGATATAACCAGTTGTGATAACAGATTGTTCAGAAGCAGCAGATTATGGTATTAAGGGAAGTTTTTGCACATTTCTGCTGTCATGAGGATCCTAAGCTGTAGAACTAGAGACAACTTGCTGTAGTAAATCACAGACAGCTGATATACATATCTTTTATTCCACCATGCTGTATCCTAGACTAATGGTAACAGTGTTTTTTTATTGCTATATATGGCTTACCTCATCTGACTCTGGGCATTTAAGTAGCAGATTTAAAAGTCACATTGTAGGCCCTTTGGAAGAAGGCATCTTAAACTTTATTTCAAGACACTTGCCGTCACATCTGAGCTTTTCAAAGTGACATTAGTAATGGTACTTCAGAAATAAGACATTCTCACCACAGTTGGTATAAGTTCTCCAAAACTGGAATACTGCTTTGATTCCAAAGAGGAATTGTTTGAGTGGGTATATCTTGGAGCATTTTCTGTGAGGTTTCTGGGAGCGCAAAGAGGCTGAGAGGCCCTTAATTGTCAGTTTTCTCAACTATTATTTTTTTACTTATACAAAGAAAACAATCATATCCCCTCTCAATTTTTTTTTTTTTTTTTTTTTTTAGTTAGGTAGAATTTTTTTTTAAATGAAATTTCTTTTAAAGAAAATTTCTTTGGAAAAGTCAAAATGAAGTGTACTTGGACAAAATCTTCCCATTAAGTGAGATGAGAGCTGTGAATATGTGTCTTTTGGGATAACCTTTTTTATTGGTAATTATTTTTAAATCATGCATAAAAATGCTTTCCTGTGTTTTTAAAATTAAACAGATCAAGTCACAACTGAGAGCACATCTGTGGACACTGGGGATACCAGAGTGATGATCTTCTCATCCTTTCGAGATAGTGTGCAAGAAATTGCAGAAATGCTTTCCCGGCTCAGTCCAGTTGTTAGAGTAATGACGTTTGTTGGCCACTCCACAGGAAAGAGCACAAAAGGCTTCACTCAAAAGGAGCAACTTGAGGTAAAGAAAAGATGAGACTTGTGTTAGGAAGTAGAGATAAAGAGTATTAATTGTGTAAACTACATGAAGTATCAGTACAGGTTGTTTAGCAGTGACTGAAATTTAAAGTGCCATTAGTAAAGTCCTATGTAGTTCAATTGCTTTCAGAGTATCCAAAATTATACTTACTGAACAGAATGTCTAAGTAGAAATATTTTATATATTTACATTATATTAACAACTGCTAACTTTTATGTATTTGAAAATCTGGGGAAATATTCAAATACTTGCTTAGGGGATTTTTTTTTTTCTTGTAGGTAGAAAAAATAAGATATATCCTTAAATTTTGATCTAGTAAAATTAAAAACAAAAAAAACCCCACCCAAAATATTTAATTGCAAAGTTGGGAAGATCAATTTTAGAAGAATGCCATGGTTGGAGTCAGAATAAGGTGTGCTTTTTTTCCTTTGTTTTAGAATTGAAGGGTTGATATGTTGATAACATTAACGCGTGGTATTTGGTCACAAGATAGTAGTTGACAAATTCAGAAAGACTAAGTTTTGTAGTTTTAAAATATAAATTAATTTTTTCAACTTCTGTCTGAACCTAGGAAAACTGCAAAGTGTGTATAAGGGGCTATCCAGCTAACCTGTTAAATCTAATTTTAATCATTTATCCAGGTAGTAAAACGCTTTCGTGAAGGGGGGTATAACACTCTGGTCTCTACCTGCGTTGGGGAAGAAGGCTTAGACATTGGAGAAGTAGATCTCATCATCTGCTTTGACGCTCAGAAAAGTCCAGTTCGCCTTGTGCAGAGGATGGGCCGAACGGGGCGCAGGCGGCAAGGCAGGATCGTTGTCATCCTTGCCGAAGGGCGGGAGGAACGGGTGAGTGGGTAGCTTTCTTCTCATTGGGAAAACAAAGAGACTTGTTTAGTGTGTTCCAGGAAACTATATATTATGTGTTAAAAATCACAGCAATCCTGAGCACTCCTAGCTACATTTTAACTGTCCCTACAGGTAGGTGTAATAACCCACAGTATTCTAAAAATATGTGCGCTTTCTCAATGTGAAGGGCTTCAAGCCTTTGTTCTTAATAACACTTATTTTGTAAAGGATAAACTGAAACTGAGAAAATACAGGGGGTTTGCCAAGGGTCTAGAACAACGTATGGAAGAGAGAGGGAGAGATGGGGCTCTGAGAGTGGGAGGACTGGTAGTGTCTTGCTCTGAACTGCTGACGACACTATGCTTTCAAACGAGTACTTAGTGGTAGCAGACTTGCGTGTGAGGTCTGAAGAGATCAGCTTAAGTGGAAATCTACTTTTGCTAAATTCCTGAACCTCAGCACTCCACTCAGAGGATAATTAATCATCTCTGAGTGCAGGCTGCCCCTTGAGAAACTAATGTGCCAGTGGAAATCTAAACCATGAGTTGTGAACCGGGGGAACTGATCTTCAGCTGTACCAGCACACTGCCCAGCTTCATCCTGCAGCTGCACCATTGCTAGGTCTGGTCTAAGGAAGCTGGCAGGGCAGGGTTTAGATAGGAGAAGGCAAGGCAGTCCCTGCTGACATTGCTCTGGTGCATGTGGTTGCAGAGTAATATGAACCTGCATCTTTACAGTTTCATCATGCAACCTCTGTTTGAATGCAAGGCATTTTTAGGGTGCACCTCACTGTTCTGGCTGAAAATTGATTTTGTTCTCTGTTGGTTTTGTTTACTTGTGAGGTTGGTTCAGAGTTGGATCAGATTTCATGACAGAGAAGTCTGAGATGTGTGTAAGCTTATCGGAAACCCAAAATTTCAGATTCTTACTATTATTTCGTTTATTCCAGTTCATGTTGTGCCTCTAGCTTAAATTTGTAGGTAACAGGGATTTAGTTCTAAATGAGGGTCCAAAGAATCCTGCCTGAGCAAAAAAAGCTACTTTGAAGGGATGAGAGTTAAAAATGATAAAAGTGAATGGTATTTGTAAATAGATACTTTCTTATGGTGCTTATGAAGACTGGATACTACTGAAAGCTCTGCTCTGTAATGGGATTTAAAATGGTCCCTTAAATTCCTTGGAGTTTCACTTAAGTAGTTGGTTTACTGGGTTCTTCAGATTTTCTCAGAAATCTTTGAAGCAGAACCTTCCCCCAGGTAGGATAGTAATTTAATATAATTTTTTTTGTTTTGGGATCATGACATAAAATTAATTGCTGAACGATATTGGTTTTGTTCAGTTTTGTTTGGGGTTTGTTGTTGTTGTTTTGTTTTGTCTTGTTTTTGTTTGATTGAGTCTCCTTCCAGATCTGTTAATGTGGAGATTCTTCCTCATCACAATAACTTGCAGCTAAGTAATCAATGGTCTTATATTAATTCATGGGCATTTGTTTGTTTGTTTTAAATCATAGAATCATTTAGGTTAGGAAAGACCTTTAAGATCATCAAGTCCAACCGTTAACCTAGCACAACAAAGCCCACCAGTAAACCACGTCCCTAAGCATCACACCTACAGGTCTTTTAAATGCCTCCAAGGATGGGGAGTCCACCACCTCCCCAGGCAGCCTCTTCCAGGGCTTGACAATGCTTTTGGTGAAGAAATTCTTCCTCATATCCAATCTAAACCTCCCCTGATGCAACTCGAGGCCATTTCCTCTGGTCCTATTGCTTGTTACTTGGGAGCAGAGACCGACCCCCACCTGGCTACCCCCTCCTCTCAGGTCGGTGTAGGGAGCGATCAGGTCTCCCCTCAGCCTCCTCTTCTCCAGACCAAACCCCCCCAGCTCCCTCAGCCGCTCCCCATCAGACTTGTGCTCCAGACCCCTCACCACCTTCGTTGCCCTTCTCTGGACTCGCTCCAGCACCTCAAGGGCTTTCTTGTGGTGAGGGGCCCAGAACTGGACACAGCACTCGAGGTGCGGCCTCACCAGTGCCCAGTACAGGGGGACGATCACTGCCCTGGTCCTGCT